TGATTGACAGTGGGGAGGAACAGAATAAATTTCCAGGAAAATGACCCATCTTGATATATGTCAGGAGGTTGGGAGTATGGTAGCATGCCTTCAAAGCCTACAATTAACCTAAGGGACAAGAAGTCATTACAAGTAATGGTGTTCCAGCTAAATAAAGGAAGTAAGGATATGTAGTGCAGCCTGGAGAGTGGTGAGGTGGATATCAAGATAAAGTGCCCCCAAAGGTGTACATCCCAGTACTCTGTGAGTCCCTCCGTGGTGGTAGCTACAAACTGCAAGGGCAGAGTAGGCATCTTGTCTTCAAAGTACCCTAAGTTTGAGGCCCTAAGCTGCCACTTCCTAGCCATGGTACATTTCCCCTTGAAGCCCATTTCCTTATCTATAAAATGAGCTAGATTGTTCTTCCTTTCCATCTGTCTGAAAAGCAGAAACACTGGTCTTGACAGGAAATTGTACATAAACATTCAGAGTCACTTCCTGCATAATCATCAATAACAGGAAACTAGTGAATCAATCAGTTCTTGTCCATAAAGAAGTTGTAAGAATCATACACACACACACACACACACACACACACACGGAGACAGACAGATGGGAGGTGGGGGGTTGCTGCCTGATTTGGAAGAAAGAGTGTAATAGACAAATACCACATGTGCCTCTGCCATGGAAGTAGTATTTAGGAAAGTTAGGGGTGCGGGTGTAGGGTCTGTGGAAAGTTGGCCTGGAGCAGGAGGAAGCTTTTCTTTTTCCTGCTCATTCTGAGTAGAGTTGAGGCCTCTAGGTGGGTACTTAGCCCTCCCATGGGACTCACACTCTGTCCACTTTCCCAAGACTGTCTTGCTCCTGTTTCCAGGCAACTAGGTTGCTCTCTTTTGCCCTTCTTAGCTTGCTCTTGTGACTACCCACCATAGAGAATACCAGCTCTAAGTCTGTGCTGGGACCCAAGTGGAAAGCTGAGGTAGAAGTAGGAGCACCCAGCAAGCCTGCATGTTGTCCTCTGCTCAGTACTGCATCTCTCAGAGCTGCTGCTTCCTCCTTTCCAGGTGAGCTGCCCTATCTCAAGTGTCCTCTGCACACAGTGCTCAAACTCACACCTGTGGCTTATGGTAAGTAGATCCACTTTCATTTAAGGAAAAGCACATAGAAGCCAGGGGTATGCCTCCAGTGTCTACCAGGGAGCTCTAGGGGGTTCCTGGATGAGGTCCCTAGGTGGCTGGCAGGATGTCCTGGTAGAAGTGCAGCTGGTGACCGTAGGCTAAGAGGAAAAAGCTAAGCTAGCATCCAAATCTAGAGCCTGGCTCTGTCTGTCTCTGCCTGGGCAGTGAGTATAGAACATTGTTCTATTTGTGTTGAGCAGAGGTGTACTCAATAGATACCTTAGGAAAATTATACGTTGGGGACATATTAAAGAATGGGGGCATTAGTTACTTATGAAAGGTTCATAAGCAGGGAAAGGATAGATTCAAATGTAGTCCAGGGTGTGAACAGGATAAAGGAACCAACTGGAACCTGTGATATGATAGCCTACAGGAATAGTGCTGAAGGGGCCACCATTGAACACTGGAGCTCCTGTTAGCCCCAGGCCCTTCTTCTTCAGGCTCCCTAGAACTTTCCAGTAATCACACCTCTAGTATTGCTAGAGGTGTCTTCTGAATAAACCTTGCCTGGGTTTGAGTACCCAGAACTATAGCCTAGAACTCTTCCACTTAGCATGGCTTGGAGTACCCTCAGCCCTCTGTCAATCATATATAGATTAGACTACTGTCTTATAGGTCACAAAGATCATCTCCTCTCATTTCTTTCACCATATACAACCAAGCAATTGAAACTGAGCAAATAGACACTCTGGGAAGATGACTGTTGACTTTAGGGCTTTTGGGCCTGGAATCTTTCCCATACATCCTACAGCTCCCCTACCTTCAGGAGAGGTATAATCTAGAGTAGTGGTTCTCAACCTTCCTCATGTTGTGGTGACTCAACCATAAATTTATTTTCATTGCCACTTAATTGTAATTTTGCTACTATTGTGACTCATAGTGTAAATATCTGATATTCAGGATACTGATATGCAACCCCCCAAAGGATTGTGACCTTTAGGTTGAGAACTACTGGTCTGGAGAGTATGGACCTGGGATGTGGGTAGTGATGATGGGAAAGGGGAAATAATACCTTATGGAAGACCAAATCTTATCCTGAGTGCTTGTAGACATATGAGTTATTTTTTTCTGAGGCTGCAGAATAGAGTCCATCTACCTGAATGTGGAGGCTGTGAACACACACCGGGACAAGCCTGAGGTAGGTTGGGTGCTCTGTATCCAAGCGGGCTTTTAACGTGGTATACTCTGAAAGTACCCTCGCACATGAAAAGGCTAGCTCCAGCCCCAGACATCCCAGGTGTTTCAAATCAACCAGCACTCAGAAGTGGCAAAAACCATAGTCCAGGCCCATAGAGACTCAGGGATATGACAATTCTTGCTAAACAGGCCTCTGACTGATTCCCCAGGCATGCCTAAGAAGACAACCAGGACCCATGCCCTGCTCAGAGGGATGCCTGGCAGTGAGGTCAAGAGACAGGGCAGAACTGGGATTCTATACTTCCTACTAACCCTGGGCTCTCTCCTTAGAATGTGGACATCACCCGTGAACCTGAGGAAGCACTGGACACTGTCCCTGCCCATTACTGAGCCATTTCCAAGTGATCAGATTGCCTCTGTCCTCATTGATTTTCTCCTGTAGGAACTGCTGTCCTTGTTCTCCCTAAGCAGACTCTGGCTTTGGCCTGAGAGTGCCCTACCTCCAGTGAAGAAATCCATAGCAGCTCCCAAACAGGTCTCAGTTCCTAGCTCAAACTAAGGAACCTACTTATTCATGGATAAAGCTCTTTTTAAATAACTATTTCCTGATCAATAAAGACATGTATTCCTGCCTATAGGACAGGAAGATGCTATAAGGCTTCTCCCATTGTTCTCAAGATCTTGGTTCTGACCCAACTCTGGTGCTGTTGAAGAATGGGTGAGGACATCTGAGATCAAAGAGTCCTGGGGTAGCACTCTCAAACATGGACAAAATAGGTCCTGTGAGTTCCTGTTAGTTTTGTTCCTTGATAGTCAAGGTACATGAGGACAGGATGTATTCATTGTTATACTCAAGAAGAATCCAGTACCTGGACTAAAAGCTTCAGTCTCCAACTCTTGCTACCATCCTGAGTAATTTCATTGCCTATGTTAATGATGCCATCAACACCCTCCCTCCCAGGGATGTGACTCCCTCAACTTAGTGATTATGTTTTATTTTTTTTTTATTAAAAATTTCCACCTCCTCCCATTTCCCTCCCCCTCCCCCGACTCCCCCTCCCTCTCCAGTCCAAAGAACAGTCAGGGTACCCTGCCCTGTGGGAAGTCCAAGGTCCTCCCCATTCCATCCAGGTCTAGGAAGGTGAACATCCAAACAGACTAGGCTCCCATAAAGCCAGTACATGCAGTAGAATCAAAACACAGTGCCATTGTCTTTGGCTTCTCAGTCAGCCCATATTGTCAGCCACATTCAGAGTCCGGTTTGATCCCATGCTCCATCAGTCCCAGTCCAGCTGGCCTTGGTGAGCTCCCATTAGATCAGCCCCACCGTCTCAGTGGGTGGGAGCACCCCTTGCAGTCCTGACTTCCTTGCTCATGTTCTCCCTCCTGTTCCTCATTTGGACCTTGGGAGCTCAGTCCAATGCTCCAATGTGGGTCTCTGTCTCTATCTCCATCCATCGCCAGATGAAGGTTCTATGGTGATATGTAAGATATTCATCAGTGTGGCTATAGGATGAGGCCAGTTCAGGCGCCCTCTCCTCAGCTACCCAAGGAACAAGCTGGGGACATCTCCTTGGACACCTGGGAACCCCTCTAAAGTCAAGTCTCTTGCCAACCCTAAAATGGCTCCCTTAATTAAGATATCTACTTCCCTGCTCCCATATCCACCCTTCCTCCATCTCAACCATCCCATTCCCCCAAGCTCTCCCCATCCTCCCCTTCTCCCTTCTCTCTCCCCATCTTCCCTTACCCCCACCCCCGTGTTCCCAACTTTTGCCTGGCAATCTTGTCTACTTCCAATATCCAGGAGGATGACTATATGTTTTTCTTTGGGTTCACCTTCTTATTTAGCTTCTCTAGGATCCTCTCTGGGCTAACTTATTGCCTGGAAGCTTACTGTTCATTCAAGTCTGTAAAATTTTATCATCCTTGAGACTTGAGCAGTATGCCTCCACACCACAGGCATTTATGTAGTATTTCCTAAATGAACAATATCTACCCTTGTTCATCAGTACGTTCCTTTTGAGGCCTCTATTTTCTCCTAGTTCTTTATTTCTCAATATTCTTCTATCCCTTACCAACTTGGAACTCCTCTTCTGCCATAATGCATACACTAACCATTGTGAGCCAGGTGCTAGTGTCCATATGATAAAGAGACTCATAACTTTGCTGCTTTGTTTCCTAGTTCTTTCAGTACAACCACCCAGTTAGATGCAAGCCTTGAATCCTGTTCAAAGTCAGGATCACCCTCTATTTTCTGGCACCCTGTCCCTTTCCACTGTCTCACACTACTTCAGGCAATTCCTGACTCTTCCATATCAATCCTCTGCCTCTCATTTGACTTTGGTCCTACAGTCCATACTTATTTTTTTTTTCTATCCCAAGAGAATGTCCTCTTGCTCCCATGTCAACTCCTAGTTCCTTTCCTTCTTATCCCTCTATTCTTACACAGTTGCCCCAAGTTAGTGTGAATTTACTATCCACAGCTTTCTGTTTCATTCTATCTTAGGCTTCCCCCTTTCATATCTGCTCAAGCACACTTTCCCAGAGCTCCCTGACCCTTAGAAATATCTGCCTTTTAGCTGGATCCCCACAGTCCCCAAAAAGCTAAGCTTAACTCTAGTTGTTCTACAAACCCCAGACATCGCATCTAGCCATATTAAAAGATGGAATAAACTCAGATTCCTTTGGCAAATTTAATGTAACTCTGATACCAAAATATGACAACAACACAAGAAGCAAACACAAAGCAGGAACAGCAGATTTTTCTTAGTGTTTCGCTCAGCTAATGGGTTGTAGCTGGTTAGGCTGCTGTGTGGACAAAGATTCCAAAGCTGCACATTGGCTCCATGGGAAGTACTGCTGCGTTAGTGTTACCTGTAAACATGGGTAACAAACGTAAGAAACCTGAAAAACAAACAAAGCAAAATACCCAGAAACACATGTTAGCACAAAACCCATTTCCTTTTATTTCCTTTTTTTCTCACTTGCCGCCCCCACCCCCAGCTTAGGTTTTCTTCTAGTATCTCCCAACTATTATAGCTATCCCCACAGATCCTGGCTATGGGAATATTGCACTTACCTGAAACTTCACTAGCCGTAAGAGAAGCCACAGGCACCGAGGTTAGTGGCTCCACCACCAAAGCCAGTACCGGTGCTTGGTCCACCGTTGAATCCAGCACTGGTGTTCAGTCCACCACCGAAGCCAGCACTGCTGCTCAGTCCACCACCACTGAAGCCAGTATTGGTGCTCAGTCCACCACCAAAGCCAGCTGCAGTGCTTGGTCCTCCGAAGCCACCTCCAGTGCTTGGTCCGCCAAAGCCAGCTCCTGTACTTGGTCCACCACCAAAGCCACCAGTGCTTGGTGCATTGCAGAAGCCAGCACCAGTGCTTGGTCCACCACTAAAGCCAACAATAGAACTGGGTCCATTACTGAAGCTGGAGCCGGTGCTGGTTTCACCAGTAAAGCCACTGCTGGTGTTGGAATCACTGCCAAAGCCAATGATGGTATTCAGTCCTCTGTCGAAGCTGGCATTAGGCCCACTGCCAAAGCCATCGCCAGTGCTGAGGCTTACACTAAAGCCTGCACCAGTGCCAAGTGTGCCACCAAAACCATTATTTGTACTCAGGTCACCAGGAAAGCCATCATTAGTGACCAGTCCACCACCAAAGCCAGTGTTGCTGCCAAGTCCATCACCAAAACCAGCACTAGTGCCCAGTCCACCACCAAAACCAGTGCTAGTGTTTAGTCCACCATTGAAGCCAGCACTGGTACCCAGTCCCCCACTGAAGTCAGCATTAGGACTTAGTCCACCACCAAAATCATTGCTGGTGCCTAATCCACCACCAAACCCAGTGCTGGTGCCCAGGCCACCATTGAAGCTAGCACTGGGGCCTAAGCTTCCACCAAAGCCACTGCTGGTACCTAGGCTGCTGCCAAAGCCAGCACTGGTGCCTAATCCGTTTCCAAAGCCAGCACTGGTACTTAGCCCATTCCCAAAACTGAAAATGGCACTGGTGCTGTGGCCCTCACTGTAATTGGCACTGGTAGCACCACTAAAGCAGGAGTTGGTGCTGGAAGAGCCTCCAAAGCATAGGTTGGTGTTAGATGCAGTGCCAAAACAGAGACTGGTGCTAGGTGCTCCACCAAAACAGAGGTTAGTACTTTGAGAACCACCAAAGCTGACACTGGTAGTGGGAGCACTACCAAAGCTAATGCTGTTGCTGTGGGTACTACCAAAGTCAGTGGTACTAAGTGCCCCACCAAAGCCAACACTGGTACTGAATGCACCACCAAAGTCAGGGTTGGTGCTGATTGCACCGCCAAAGCTGGAACTGGTGCTGATGGCACTACCAAAACCAGCACTGTTATTGAGTGCCCCACCAAAGCTGGCACTGGTACTGATAGCACTGCCAAAGCCAGCACCGTTACTAAGAGCACCACCAAAGCTGGCACTGGTACTGATAGCACCGCCAAAGCCAGCACTGTTACTGTGTACACTATCAAAGCTGGCACTGGTACTGATAGCACCACCAAAGCCAGTACTGTTATTGAGTGCACCACCAAAGCTTGCACTAGTACTGATGGCACTGCCAAAGCCAGCACTGTTACTGAGTGCACCATCAAAGCTGGCACTGGTACTGATAGCACTGCCAAAGCCAGTACTGCCACTGAGTGCACCACTAAAGCTGGCACTGGTGCTGATAGCACTGCCAAAGTCAGAACTGCCACTGAGTGCACCACTAAAGCTGGCACTGGTGCTGATGGCACTGCCAAAGTCAGCATTACTATTAAGTGCATTACCAAAGCTGGCACTGGTGCTGATGGCACCGCCAAAGCCAGAACTGCCATTGAGTACACTACCAAAGCTGGCACTGGTGCTGAGTGCACTGCCAAAGCCAGAACTGGTGCTAATGGCACCACCAAAGTTGGCACTGCTGTTGAGTGCACTGCCAAAGCCGGTGCTGGTGTTGATGGCACCGCCAAAGCTGGCACTGCTGTTGAGTGCACCACCAAAGCCAGTACTTATGGCACCACCAAAGCTGGCACTGCTGTTGAGTGCATTGCCAAAGCCAGCACTGGTGCTGATGGTACCACCAAAGCTGGTACTGCTGTTGAGTGTACCGCCAAAGCCAGCACTGGTGCCAGAAGAGCCACCAAAGCTGACACTAGTGCTTACTGTGCCACCAAAGTCAGAGCTGGTGCTAGAAGAAGCACCAAAGGAAACACTGGTGCTGAGTGTACCGCCAAAACCAGTATTGGTGCTAGGAGAACTACCAAAGCAGATACTGGTACTGAGTGTGCCTCCAAAGCCAATACCAGAGCAGGGGGAGCTACCAAAGCAGACACTAGTGCTAAGTGTGCCTCCAAAGCCAGTAGTGGTGCTAACTGCACCACTGAAGACAGTGCTTGTGGTAGGTGCGCTGCCAAAGCTGGTGCTTGTGCTAAGTGCACCACCAAAGCCAGCTGTACTACTAAGTGTGCCTCCAAAGCCACAGCTGGCTCCACCATTGAAATTGGCACTCGTACACGGTGCACCACCAAAACTAATACTGGCTCCACCACTGAAACTGGTACTGGTGGTAGGAGAACTACCAAAGCTAATGCTGGATCCACCACTGAAACTACTGCTAATGGTGGGCGAACCACCAAAGCTAATGCTGGCGGTGCTGCTGAAGCTAGTGCTAGTGCTGGGCGAACCACCAAAGCTAATGCTGGTGGTGCTGCTGAAGCTAGTGCTGGTGCTAGATGCACCACCAAAGCTAATGCTTGCTGTGTCACAGAAAGTGGCACTAGTACTGGGTGTACCACTGAAGCTAATGCTGGCTCCACCACTGAAACTAGTGCTAGTGATGGATGTGTCTCCAAAGCTAATGCTTGCTGCACTGCTGAAGTTGGCAGAGGTATTGGGTGAACTACCAAAGGTAATGCCATTTCTGCCACCAAAGCCACCATTGGGGTTGGGTATGCCACCAAAGCCACCATTAGAGTTGGGTATGCCACCAAAGCCACCATTAGAGTTGGGTATGCCACCAAAGCCACCATTGGAGTTGGGTATGCCACCAAAGCCACCATTAGAGTTGGGTATGCCACCAAAGCCACCATTGGAGTTGGGTATGCCACCAAAGCCACCATTAGAGTTGGGTATGCCACCAAAGTCACTATTAGAATTGGGTATGCCACCAAAGCCACCACTGGGGTTGGGTATGCCACCAAAGCTAATACTAGCACCATCACTGAAGCTATTTCTAGTACTAGCTCCTTGGTTGAAGTTGACATTGTTGGTAGGATCTGCATTTTCTTGGGCTCTGGAATCAATTTCAAAGGAAAATCTGCTCCAGGCTTGAGTATCATCACCCAACTCTTCCCTTGTTAAGCAGTCAATATCCATGTCATCCCAATTCCAGGGCCCAGCCACAGCTTCCTCTCCAATCCCCATTTGGGCTCTTGCCTCAGCCCTGGCCTCAGCCTCAGCCACAGCCACAGCTGCAGCCTGAACATCCATCTCTACTGCCTCCCGGTACTGAGCGGCCCAGTCTTTAGGATCTTTCTTCTGTACCTAAAATGGAAATTATAATTATTAGAAGAAAAATAGCCCTTATACTTACGTGTGAAGAACCCACTATAACTAATAGTGGTAAATAAAAAAAGGCATCTTTCTAGAGTTCTAATGAGTAAGTCTTGATATCAAACTTCAGCCTGGATAACTGAGGCATACAAGTTATGTCCTTCAACAAGTTACTTTATATCCCTGAACCTAAATGTCCCCATTTGTAATATGGGAAAGTATAAGAAACCAAGCATGTTATAGGCTGAGTGTATTTCCCCAGAATTCTTATGTTGAATATCCAACCCCTAATCATGACTGTATTTTCAAATAGGGTCTTTTATGGGTATACCTTAAATGAGTAAGGCCTTGATCAAATAGGACTGACATGAAAATGAACTCAAGCTTGCCATATGCAATGTGAAGATTCAGAAAAAGCCTCTGTAAGTCAGAAAGACCCTGCACCAGAAACTGTACTAGATGTTGATCTAGGGATTTTATCTCCAGAACTGTGAGTATATCTATTTCTGTTATCTTAAGACCTCCAGCTATTAATAACATTTTTAATGGCAGTCTGAACTGATAGAATGTAAAACTTAACTAAACAAAGATGTATGTCTTGCAATATATATCTGGAACATTGTTGAGGCTTTAGATTTTTATATACAAACCATATGTTGTCCCATACTTGTCTAAATACACACAGCCTGCCTCAGCATGGAGCATCCTATTCCCTTAATGTACCAAGATCAGGAAGTTCATTACCTTGCATGCAAATTTCAGGACTTTCATCTTGCTAGTCTCGTGGTAAGACCGCAGGCCCCAGAAGAATTCATATTCAGGTGGTCTGCTGTTGGGGACCCTCTTGTATTCCAGATACCTCAGAGAAAAGAAAATGAAACTTGCTTCTAAACAAGCAAAACTACTGTTTAACCACTAGGCCTCAGATGAAGAAATTTCCTCTTAACAAACACCTAGAATCCAGACCCAGACTCATTCCCATACAAACATGGCTTCCATGCAAAGCCATAGTGATACATATACAGAACATGACACTACAGAAGACAGATGTGTTTTGTCTCCTATAAAGACTAACCCCAGATTCCATTTGGGTGTGCTGTTAATAGATTGACCATTTTGGGACCCCTGCTATGAGTACACCCGACTGCAAGGGTCCTAATGGGGCTTGGCCACAAGAATTGTAGACAGGACTTGGGTCTAGGTCACAGAATGCCTATCTATCTACAAAGAGTGTAAGAAAGGTATGATATATTTTTTGAACCAGATAACCACACCCAGAGCACTTCAGAGCTACACAAAGCCTTAAACACTACTTACTTCTGCTTCACGAATTCATCTGTGATGAGTTTCCTCACTTCTCCAAAGAGTGAATGTCTTACCCTAGCAAAGGAAAAAATAATCAGTGAATACAGAGCAGAACAACCCAGATGAAGGTAGAGGTATTTCCCAACATGGAGCAGATTTTATAGCCAATGAGGCAGTCTCAACGAAGTGAAGACAGTAGTGAGTATACGGCCACTAGAAGAAAACAGTGGAGACCAGATGGCACTTTGTCAGGGATGCCCGAAGGTCCACCTTACACCTCATCTCAGAACAGACAGAAGACATAAATGAGAAAAGAAGCAGAGTTCAGAACCATTTGTCATTCATCCAGGTAATAAATCCCCCACCCCCACCCTGTGCTCCACCAGACCACCAGGTTGATGCAATCCTGGGACCATCCTCTCTTGCCAAAAGACAACACGGACAGCAAGCGCTGAGAGAGCCCAATCATACCCAGGACGCAGCCCCAACTTGCGTAGCACCTCCCAGATGACAGCTGCAAGAGGAGGCAAGGAGACAAGGACAGAAAATGAGCACCTGGAATTCAGACAACAGCCACCTATTCAGCTGCATGCCCAGCCAGCTACTTACCCTCACTGGCCTTGTTGCCATTCATGAAAATGACACTCAGAATCACCATGAGGAGACCCAGCTTGGGTGTGTCCTTGGTCCTAAAAGAAATACCGGACAAAGAGAAAGTTTAGGATCCTGAGTCATCACCTATACAACACAGCTCATTAGGCCAGCCTCTCCTAGATTCCCCAGATACTGAGAATTCAGCCTACTCTATGGTCCCAGCTATCAATGACCCAAGGGAAGGTGCTTTCACTCTTGAGCCAAGGTCTCCAGTAAAATGGGAAACCATATACTATCCCTACCCAAGGTTAGCAGGACATGGAAGAAGCCCTGTCCACCACATGGAAGCTCAGCCAACAGGAGTCTTTTCTTTCTCTCCCAATTTCCCTGGCCCTGAGAAATTCTAGATGGAACCCTAGTGGCACTCCTGCTCTCAAGCATCATGGTCCACACCAGAAGTCCCTCCCCCCTTTGAGGGACTTCCACAGCCAGGCCAGGCACTCCGTAGAAGAGATAAGTAACAACAGGCTGATTTCCTGGGAGCTTGTTAGCAAGCAAACCTGACAGCAGCAATGGCCACTCCAGGCTCTGAAACCCTTCTGCCGTCATAATCTGGCACCACTACTGCTCACAGGGATGCAGCCATGTGTGGGAGGTGGGACATGGGCATTTAGACCACCTTTCCTGAGCTTCTAAGAGGAAGCAGAAGCCCCTTCCCACCCTGGCACTGTCCCAGCTTACGTTCCCAGAATGCCTGCAGAGGACTCCTGAGTGCTGATAAGAATATACAAGCTACTTTGCTTATCAATTTCCTTCAGGTTGACTCGAAACATCTGCCAAGTAAAAGAATAACCTGTGAGATTGCAAAATATATCTTAGGTATCAATTAGCATGTTGGGCATTCTGAGAAAAGTAAGGGTTTTGTATGAGAGAAAATGCATGTAAAGCATATAGTTCAGTACAAAGCACACCATATAAAAAACATAGTAGTCATCAATAGTGTCTGTGGGCATTTGGGGAGACAGAGAGGTGAGCAACCGCAATACATGAGATGGTATATCCAGCAGCAGACAGAAGCCAGGGCTCAGCTGCATAGCTTTAGTACCGGCTGTGTTTCCACCAGTGACATGTGATCAGTGGCTGCCCCTCCCTAGGCCACTGTGTGCTCATTTGCACAGTGATGGCAATGTATTAGGTCTCTGTTCTTCCCCCCAGGAGGATGATAATATACCTTTCCTCTGTTTAAGGTTTCCCCAGTGCACCCACCCCCAGGGCTGCCACTTCACCTTCTCCAGAGCATAGCTTGCTCTTTCAATGATCTCTGGAAAATACTCATCATATTCTTGGATGACATCCTTCAGCATGTCTACAAGAAAGGGGAGACAGAAGATGCTAAACTGTACAGGTCAGATGACTGCGGTCTTTCCCCAGCCCTGTGTAGTCAGGGTAGCTATAGTGAAATAGGAGTGTGGCAGCTGATGCAGTATGAAAGGAGGTGATAAGTAAATAGTTCCTCACAGGCCATGGGGAAAGAATGGTGAAGAAGAGCTCAAGAAGACTACCTGAACGCTTGATGGGGATCTTTGTCTGGTCCTTAACCAACAGATATTTCACCAACTTATTTGCCTAAAAGAGTAACAGTTGGGGAGGTATCAGTACAGTGGCGAAACACTTGGGAGAATATCAAAGAATGAAAAGAAAGAAAAACAGGACCTGAGCAGATTGAATTCTTACCCTTTCCTGCAAAATGGCCACATCTCGGGGTGGTGGAGGCCTCCGGCCCCATGGGATCCGCCTGAAACTGCCACCAGTTCTTTCTTCTCCATTGGGATGCTTAGACTTTATCAATGGTAAAAAAAAAAATGTGTGGAGTTACCAAATGAAAGAGATTGCTGTTTCTTTCAAAAAGTCCCCCTAGAGTCTAGTGGGTGGGCCTGGACTCTCCCCTACAGAGGGGTGTGGCCCTAACCCTGGCTATCCTGAGTCCCAAACTTTTCTTTCCCTGGCTTCTAGGCAACAGTTTATTTCACCTTCCAGGGCACAAGCCAACCAAGGACATGGCCTGGGGGTTTTTCCTTTTCTTTGGCCACCACCATACTCTGCTAGCTACAGGCCTTAGACAGATCACTTCATTCCAGGACTTCTTTTCTTATCTGTAAAACTGGTACTTAAGTCCCAAATAGTAAGAGTTCTCAAGAAATCCACATATAATCTGGGTAAATATAATGTGAGTTACAAATAGGTCTTGACTAAATTCACAAATGCATTTCCCTACCAATCCATGAGCAAACAAAAGTGTATCATATTCTCAGCATATCCTATAGCCTATATGAACACATGGTCACTCCTGAAGTTAAATGACTCAAGAAACATAAGACAAATGAACAGCCTAGTATAGGAGTAAGAAAGCAGCACAAAGTTAAGGATAATATCACAGATCTTACCTTCCGGTTCCTCTTGCCCCGGGTTCTGGTTGTGGGCTCCAAACTCAACTGAGCCAGGTAGTCATCTGCCAAGGCCTGAACAGCAGCAGCAACCTGAGTCTCAAGGGCACTTATGCTGGCTTGAGAGGTAGCCATCTTGGCCTGTGCTCCTTGTTCATTGATTTGAGCCTGGCTTTCAGTTGCCCGAGTCTTAGTGGCAGCCTTTCGAGCCCTAGACCCTCTCCTGATCCGTACAGTCACTGATAGGGCATGGTTTGGGACCATTTGAAGGGCAGGTGGAGCCTCGGAGAGCTCAGAAGCAGAATTTGGGCCTTTATTGGCAACCTTCTTCCCCTTGGGCTTTTTGGGCCTTAGAACTACAGTTGAAGCCTCAATCTGTCTGCTAGCTCCCTCAATAGCATTTGAGGGCTCTCCATACTCAGTGTCAGCATTCATGGGCTTAGCAGTTGTCCTCTTAGCTTTGGAAATTTTCTTGGTTCGGATAGTGGCTGCTGAGGACTGGATACTAGCTGTCTCCTTGGCAATTTGGCCTTGGGTAGTGGCTGTGTGGGTGGCAGTCGAAGCCAGTGAGATCTCAGTGGCACTAGGTATGGTCTTATTGGCAGCCTTCTTTGCCTTAGAAGCTTTCTTGGGTTTGCTGACAGCTATCAAGGCCAGGGAATTAGCTGACTCATTGGCAACTGGAGACTGGAGAGTTGGTGAGGTAACTGGCAGGTTTAGGGCCTGTAAAGGCGACTTGAGCTGTGTAGTGACATCCTCAGTGCCAGTTAGAGATACCTTGGGAGTAACTCTCTTTGTCTTGGCTTTCTTGGTTTGAGCAGTAACTGAAGCCTGGATATTGGCTGCCTCAGTTGTAGCAGAAACCTGGCTGATCTGGGTGAACATTGGTAGGTTTAAAGCCTGCAGAGTTACTTTAGGCTTGTTGCTAGCAATGTCATTGGCAGATGGAACCTGAGGGGGAGTGGGTGTGGTCTTAGTGATAGCTTTAATAGAAGTCTTCTTGGTCTTGCTTTTCTTAGGCCGGCTGGCAATCGGTGGGTCCTTGGATGCTGACAACAGGGTATGCATCAGCAGGACATTGTCCTTCTCTGTGCTCTCAGTCTGTACATCTGGAGAGAAAGGAAGCCCTAGGCTCCCAGGGGGAGGCAGAGGGCCCTACATACTTAGGATTATGATCCTATGGAACATCTGGCTTCCCTACAACCACCCCTCTTTACAGTGGCCCCCGTTCCTGAACAGTTTGATTGAAAGGGTGTGGGGAAACAAACAGGGAGCAGGAGACAGAGTCAGGCAGGTTTCCCTCTTCCCAGCACCATGCAAAGTAAGATTGAGACAGGTTAGGTAGGGAATTATAAAACCACACCATGGTAGTGGACTCCAGAGAGGTAAGTGAATTTGGGGGAGGGTAGATGGCCTGGTAAGAATGCAGAGAGGTCTCACCTGGAATGTGGGCACCTGAAAACCGTAGTCATTTCTTCTATCCATCTTCCTGAGAGACTGTAATAGCTGAGCCTGAAAGAAATAGGGCTGAGTTAGAGGAAAATAAGGGAGCAGGGAGATTCATCCGATGTCTTGCTAAATCTGAAGGGGAAAAGAATTTACCTAATTTTGGACCCCAGACCTTTCTGGGTTTGCCTATCTAGAAGCCCAGGGCATCTCATTTCTGAGCTCCGGTATCTTTCACTTCCAAGATGGCAAATCAGTTCTACGACCTACACCTGAATACACCCTCTACCACACCGCAACCTGACAGTGCGCATGCGCACAGAACACACGAACACACACACACACACACACACACACACACACACACACACACACACAACGCACGCAAGCAGGATCACAGGTTTCCCAAATGAGCCTGGTCCTCAGGGCCCTCAGTACGCATGCGCCTTGGTGGACAGGACCATCTCTAACCATCTCATTTCCACTTATGCCCCCTCCCCGTGAGCTACAGAACATCTCGGTCCCACCCGCCGCCTCCCCCTAACTACACCATTTCTCAGCCCACCCTTTCCCCCCAGAATGGCTCAGGCTCTGCAGGGCCATTTCGCGCCGCTCCCTCTCCCCACTCCCCCCCAGAAGCTCCCCCCCCCCCGCCATTCCTCTGCTGCCGCGCCGCTTGTCAGCCACTCACCCTCGCTGTGATTCCGCAGTCCTCCGCACCTCCCACCCCTCCGCAAGCCCCCTCCCCCCACGCTGCAGTTGCCTCCGCCGACACTGCCCCCCCACCTCTGTCCACGTCTGCAATGGCCCAGCCCCGCCCTTTCTGCAATATGGATACCCCACCCCCAAATCCAACAGGGTTACCCTTCGTGGATTCCCAGCTCCCTAACCCTACCAGGTCATTCTCCCTTTCAAACCAGTGCTAACCGGATCCTAGCCCGCCCTTTCTCCCTTCCAAGTTTGGTACTTGGGCCGTTTAAAAAGGATTCTGCCGCTCCTTTCTTAGTCCCGATCCGATCCATCCTTTCCGTAGCCCAGAGGGGGTCCGGCCCCCTTTCTTCGGCTTAATCCGTTAATTCCGTCCCTTACCTCCCTCCTGAACTCGGTCCTCCTTCCTTTTTACTACAGCCAGAACGATTTCTCAACGTTTCCTTTACACAACCCCAAACAGGTCCGCATCCCTTCTTCCCATCGCCAAACTGAGTCCAGACCTTCCCTTGGCCCAGAGATCCCGCCCCCGCCTTTCTACCCTTAGAACTGGGTTCCGGCACCTCTAAACCCATCACACCGAAGCCGCTAGATCCCAAACCCCGGCAGGTTTTCTTCAAACCTTAAGGTTGTGTGAAGCCAGTCACCACGAAGCTGCAGCCTTTAAGGCCCCACAGGGTCTTTACCAAAGCTAGCCACCTCAGCTCACCTCGCCCTCGTGAGTCCAGAGGACGTCTGCTCTCTCCAAGCCTCTCCTCAGGTCTGAGCTACCCCCGCACCGCCTGGCCGGAAGTGGTCCTGCCTCTTTCCGCCTCCAGAGGGGGGTCTCTGTCCCTACCGGCCTGCACCACCCCCTCTCTGCTTAACGACTTCCCGATCTCCTCCGTGTAGCTCCTCTTTTCTGTTTACTACCTCTTGTTCAGCATCACACCTATTTTCCATTTCATTTCTCCGTTCCCCATCCTGTGTCCCTGTTTCTTTTTGATTTTTCTGTTTCTCCTGAAGAGAATGACTTCAGAGCTCCCACGCCTGTCCGGACAACACTAATTACATGGCGTGTTACACTGTGAGAACAGAGGATTAAATCACATCCATTGCTGACTTTCAAATAAAACCAGATTAAGATATCTAGAGTCTCTAAACATTAGCAGGATGCTCCCAAATAATCTAAATATAATAAATTAAACATATATTTCATATATATACACATATATATATATATTTAAAGTAAATGTAAGAAAAATCAATTGGTGCCGATCAGATGGTTCCGCGGTTAAAAGCACTTGCCACTCAGCCTGAGGACTTGAAGTCTAGTCCCTGAACCCACATGGTGGAGGGAGAAACCTTACTCCCACAAGTTGTCCTCACAGCCCTGCTTGCGCACAAACACATACGTGCATGCACACACACACTTTACTTATTACAAATAAAAATGTAATAAAAATCCCTGAATGTTTCAATTTATCTCAAAATAATTGCACTGTTGCCTTTTAAAAAGCAAATTATTTGAAAAATATTGGAATGGGTATTTAACAAAGCACTGATGTAATTCCAGAACTACTTGGGAGGGGGATGTGGAAGGATCTTGAGTTCAAATATAGCCTTCTACAGTGAGACTATAAATAAAAAATTAGATACATAAAATGCATATATATAATGCATATATGCACACTTGTGCATTTGTATTAGATAGACACATACAAATATACATGAATGCCTTTTTTTTCCGTGTTCTTCTTTTACTGATGCACTGAGCAAGGATTTAGGCTGTCTCTTGTGATATAGTGCACTACTCCCCAGTGCAAGAAACGTTTTGTGATATTCACTTTTTCATTCAATTATGCCAAAGTGAGTAGAGATAATTATGTCAGATAAAAAAGACATTAAGTCACAAACTAAAAGGACACATTATAAAAAGAATGACATTACAGACTGGATTATAGAGGCAGAGACAGGCAGATCTCTGAGTTCAGAGCCTAGCCATGGTTATATATTGAGGTCCTGCATTAAAAAACTATATAATAAGAGAAAATTCATAAAGACCATATAAAATGACAAATATATATGAATTCAACATATATATTGAACCTGGATATATGAAACCATATTAATAATGAATGGGAGGATAGAGCACAGTAAAAGAATAGTAAAGAACTTCAATACCCATGTTCCAGTGATGTAGGGATTATCTGGATGGAAAACTAGTAAAGAAAAGATGGGCTTGAATTTCACTTTAGGCAAAATGAACTTAACAGGCACCTACAGAACTTTCCAAGCAACAACTGCAGAATACACATTCTTCTCAAATATACATGCAGCACTCTCCAGCACAGACCCTAAGTAGGACCACAAAACAAGTCTTAACAAAACTAAGAGAGGATTTGTCAAAACACATAGAACTGTACACCACAAAATGTGAACTTTAATATATACAGTGAAATTAGTCACAACATACAGTGATCCCTTGGTCACATGAAGTCTGTAACAGATAAATATAACTTTATTACAAAAGTATCCTGCAATTACACATATTTATGATGAAAAAAGAAAATTGAAAGCACCTAAGTAATGGTGGAAAAAGTGAAAAGGGGGACAATTTACCTTAATATATTTGGACAAATGATTGACTGGAGACTATAAGAATGAGGGCAAAGGAAACCCTATAAATATACTGTCCTCTAGGTAGTACATTTCTTTATTGTTTTCCTGTTTTGCTCTTTTGTTGAAAATAGATTTTTTTTTTTTACCATACAATATATTCTGTTTATAGTTTCTCCTCCCTCCACCCAGTTCCTCCTGACTTTCCCTTATCTCTGGATCCACCCCATTTCTGTCTCTCATTACAAAAGAATGGGCTTTTAAGAGATAGCAACCAGCCGGGCGGTGGTGGCGCACGCCTTTAATCCCAGCACTCGGGAGGCAAAGGCAGGCGGATCTCTGTGAGTTCGAGGCCAGCCTGGTCTACAAGACCTAGTTCCAGGACAGGAACCAAAAGCTACGGAGAAACCCTGTCTCGAAAAATCAAAAAAAAAAAAAAAAAAAAAAAAAAAAAGAGAGAGAGAGATAGCAACCAAACATAGCAAATAAAATATAACAAGATAAAACCAAAATAATCACATTAAAACTGGACACAGCAAGCCAACAAAAGGAAAAGACTCCAGTTGCAGTTACAAGAATCAGATTCCTTCGCACACTCGGGAGTGAGTCCATAAAAATTCCTAAACTAATAGCTATAGCCAGAGGACCTGGTGCAGACCCGTGCAGGCATTAGGCTTGCTGCTCTAGTCTCTATGAGCTCATATGTACCTTGCTTAGTTGATTCAGTGAACCTTATTTTGCTGGTGTCTTCCATTCCCTGTGGCTCTTATAATCTTTAGCCTTCTCTTCCATGGGATTCCCTGAGCTCTGGTGGGAGGGATACAGTGAAAACATTCAACTTAAACTCTCTGCATAATGTCTGGCTGTGGGTCTCTGCATCTGTTCCCATCGGCTGCCAGAGGAAGCCTCTCTGCTGATGACTGGATAAGGCACTTATCTCTGAGTATAGTAGATTATCATTAGGGATCATTTCATTAATTATTTTTGATCAGTAGTGTTTGATTTTACCATAAGTCTCTGGATTATCTAGTCTCTGGTTCTTGGAACCCAAGCAGTGTTGGATGTGGGTTCCTTCTCATGGAGTAGATCTTAGATCAAATCAGACATTGGGTGGCTACTACCACATGTTCTTTGCTACCATTGCCCTGGCATATTTTCCAGGCAGGACAGATCATAGGCGGAAGATTTTGTATCTGGGTTGGTGTTGATGTTTCTATTTTGGTAGCCTGAAGAATACCTTTCTACACCTAGGAGTAACTAGAACCAAGTGGTGAGGGCTTCATATATTATGGACCAGCTCATCATCTCCAAGTTCAATGAGCTGTGTGTGTGTTGTCCTCAGCAATGAGGCCCCGCTGTTTATTTGCAGAGAGCAATCCCTTGTTTTAGCGACAGCCTGGGTTGTTTGGGAATTTCCAGGGGACCCCTTTGGCCAACAACTCAATTGACTGCAACCTAGTTCTGCCACTGTAAGCCTCGCCTGGCAGCAGGAGATCGCCAGTTGCAACTCTGTATCCCCCATTACTAGGAGTCCTTATTAGGATCATCTTCATAAATTTCAGGAAGTTTCCACTGCATGGGATTTCCACACCCACTAAATGCCTCCTCAATTGCAGCTGGCTCTCCCAGCACTCTCTGCTTCCATGCCAACCTCCCTACCTGTTGTTCCTGTCCCCATCTGCCCTCAGTTTGCTCATAAAATCTATTTCTCCCTCCCAGAGAGATCCTTGAATCACCCCTAGACCCCTCCTTGTTACCTAACCTTTCTGAATTTATGGATTGTAGCTTGGTTATCATTTATTTACAGCTAATATCCACTTATAAGTGAGTACGTACCAAATTTGTCTCTCTGGGTCTGGGTTACCTCATTACTGATGATTGTTTTTAATTTGCCTGCAAATTTTATGATGTCTGGGGCTAGAGAGATGGCTCAGAGGTTAAGAGCATTGCCTGCTCTTCCAAAGGTCCTGAGTTCAATTCCCAGCAACCACATGGTGGCTCACAACCATCTGTAATGGGGTCTGGTGCCCTCTTCTGGCCTGCAGGCAGACACACAAACAGAATATTGTATACATAATAAATAAATAAATATTTTTAAAAAATTATGATGTCATTTTTTGGAGGTGGGTTCAAGACAGGATTTCTCTGTATAACTTTGGAGCCTTGTCCTGGTACTCACTTTGTAGCCCAGGCTGGTCTCGAACTCACAGAGATCTGCCTGCCTCTGCCTCCCAAGTGCTGGGATTAAAGGCATGCATCACCACCACCCAGCTTCATGGTGTCATTTTTAACAGCTAAGTAATACTTCATTATGTAAATGTACCACATTTTTTAGATTTATTCTTCAGTTGAAGGATATCTTAAGTTGTTTCCAGTTTCTGGATATTATGAATAAAGCCAGAATGAACATGGTTGAGTAAGTGTCCTTGTGGTAAGATGGAGTCTCTTTGGAGTATATACCCAGGAATGGTATAGCTGTGTCTTGAGGTAGATCAATTTTCAACTTTCTGAGGAACCACTATATTAATTTCCATAGTAGCTATACAAGTTTTTACTCCCACCAGCAATGGAGGAGTGTTTCCTTTACTCCACATCCTCGCCAGCATAAGTTATGTGTTATGGTTATCTTAGACAGTCTGACAAATGAAATCTCAAAGTCTTTTTGATTTGCATTTCCCTGATGGCTAAGGATGTTGAACATTTCTTTAAGTGCTTCTCACCCATTTGAGATTCCTCTATTAAAATTCTCTGTTTAGATCTATACAGCACTTTTTACTTTGGTTCTCTGTTCCCCATTTTTAAATTGGATTGTTTGTATTTTTTTATATGTAGTTTCTTGAGTTCTTTATGTTTTTTGGATATTAGTCCTCTATTGGAAGTGGAGTTGCTAAAAGTCTTTTCCCATTCTATAGGCTGCTGTTTTGTTCAAATTGTAAGCATTACAGCTCGGATGGAAAGGGATCCTGGTAATCATGAGCCAAAAAATACCACAAAGTCGCTGTAAGCTCAGCAATTTACAGTTCTGCTCCAGGAAAAGGTTTCCTCAATGGAACAATGACTGACCCTGCAGCGGAGAGTTTCCCCAGTAAAGTTGTTAAAATTCTGCTCAGTTTTTTTTATTTTTTATTTTTGAGAGATCTTGGCTCTCAATTTCCTGATCAATAAGAGACAAAATAAAAATTTAAAAAAATTCTGCTCAGTTCCCCCAGAGGTTTCCTCTGGAAAACTTTTACATACATCCTGCTCTGCTGTGCTCTGCTCCACGCCTGCTCCAGGGAAAAGTTGTTACTTCTCTGCTCCACTCCATTC